TTACTCTCTCCACAACATTTTTATCCACTTTAGCATTGAAATCCCCAACCACAAGTACTCTCACACTTGGTTCAAAACTCCCCATGCACTCACTTAACATTTCTCAAAATCTCTCTCTCTCTCCTGTACACTTCTCTCTTCTCCAGGTACATTAGCACCTACTATACCCCACTTTACACGTCCAACCCTTACTTTACTCCACATAATCCTTGAATTTATACATTTATAGTCCCTCTTTTCCTGCCATATCTTATCCTTCAATGTTATTGCTATTCCTCCTTTCGCTCTATTTGAAACCCCTGACCTAATCCCATTTATTTCACCCCACTAAAACTCTCCCACCCCCTTCAGCTTTGTTTCACTTAAAGCCAGGACATTCAGTTTCTTCTCATTCATAACATTCACAATCACATCTTCCCTATCATTTGCACAACATCCATGCACATTCAAACATCCCACTTGGACAGTTTTCTTCTTTTTCTTTTTAGTAGGCTATACAGGAAAAGAGGTTACTAGCCCACTTTTCCCGCATTTTATTGATTTTTAAACACGTATGCCCTTAGGGAGGAAAGATTTTTTATTCACTTCCCCATGATATAAAGGAAAAGCAATAAAAACAAGAACTTTTAAGATAAAACAAAAAAAACAAGATGATGTGTATATATAAATGTGACATGTAGTATTTTGGTAACAGCAACCCCCAGGGGGGTACTACCGCCTGCCAAGTGAGTGAAAAACAAGCCGTGATTTTTTTTAACATGATGGTAGGATTGCTGGTCTTTTGTCTGTCTCATAAATATGCAAGATTACAGGCATGTCTTGCACTTCTATTTCACTTGGGCCCACACTACAAAACATGACACATTTATTTAACACACTCACAGTTTTTCTTTGTTTTTATCTTAATAGTTTTTTTGGTCTTAAAAATTTTTTTTTATATCCAGGGGGAAGTGAATAAGAACTTTCCTCCGAACCATGCGTGTTGAAAAATCAACTAAAACCCGGGAAAAAGGGGCAGAACCCCCCTTTTCCTGAAAAGATTACTAAAAAGAATAAAAGAAAAAATTGTCAAAGGGGGAAGTCTAAATGTCGTGGATGTTTGCAATGATAAAAAGAGAGATTGTGGATTTAGGAATGAGAAGAAGTTTTGGTTTCCGGTTTTAAAGGAAAAAAAGCGAAGGGGGGGGGAGATTTTCAGTGGAGAGGAATAAATGGGATTTGGGCAGGGGTTTCAAATAGAGTTAGAGCTAAAGAAGGAGTAGCAATAATGTTGAAGGATAAGCTATGGCAGGAAAAGAGGACTATAAATGTATTAATTCAAGGATTATGTGGAGTAAAATAAAGATTGGATGTGAAAAGTGGGTTATAATAAGCGTGTATGCACCTGGAGAAGAGAGAAGTGTAGAGGAGAGAGAGAGATTTGGGAAATGTTGAGTGAATGCGTGGGGAGTTTTGAATCAAGTGTGAGAGTAATGGTGGTTGGGGATTTTAATGCTAAAGTGGGTAAAAATGTTATGGAGGGAGTAGTAGGTAAATTTGGGGTGCCAGGGGTAAATGTAAATGGGGAGCCTTTAATTGAGCTATGTGTAGAAAGAAATTTGGTAATAAGTAATACATATTTTATGAAAAAGAGGATAAATAAATATACAAGGTATGATGTAGCACGTAATGAAAGTAGTTTATTAGATTATGTATTGGTGGATAAAAGGTTGATGGGTAGGCTCCGGGAAATGTACATGTTTATAAGAGGGGCAACTGATATATCGGATCTTTAAATTTAGTTGTAGCTACAGTTAGAGTAAGAGGTAGATGGGAAAAGAGGAAGGTGGCAACAACAAGTAAGAGGGAAGTGAAAGTGTATAAACTAAGGAGGGAGGAAGTTCGGGTGAGATATAAGCGACTATTGGCAGAAAGGTGGGCTAGTGCAAAGATGATAGTGGGGGGGTTGAAGAGGGTTGGAATAGTTTTAAAAATGCAGTATTAGAATGTGGGGCAGAAGTTTGTGGTTATAGGGGGGTGGGGGCAGGAGGAAAGAGGAGTGATTGGTGGAATGATGAAGTAAAGGGTGTGATAAAAGAGAAAAAGGTAGCTTATGAGAGGTTTTTACAAAGCAGAAGTGTTATAAGAAGAGCAGAGTATATGGAGAGTAAAAGAAAGGTAAAGAGAGTGGTGAGAGAGTGCAAAAGGAGAGCAGATGATAGAGTGGGAGAGGCACTGTCAAGAAATTTTAATGAAAATAAGAAAAAATTTGGAGTGATTTTAAACAAGTTAAGAAAGCCTAGGGAAAATATGGATTTGTCAGTTAAAAACAGAGTAGGGGAGTTAGTAGATGGGGAGATGGAGGTATTGGGTAGATGGCGAGAATATTTTGAGGAACTTTTAAATGTTAAGGAAGAAACAGAGGCAGTAATTTCATGCACTGGTCAGGGAGGTATACCATCTTTTAGGAGTGAAGAAGAGCAGAATGTAAGTGTGGGGGAGGTACGTGAGGCATTACGTAAAATGAAAGGGGGTAAAGCAGCTGGAACTGATGGGATCATGACAAAAAATGTTAAAAGCAGGGGGGATATAGTGTTGGAGTGGTTGGTACTTTTGTTTAATAAATGTATGAAAGAGGGGAAAGGTACCTAGGATTGGCAGAGAGCATGTATAGTCCCTTTATATAAAGGGAAAGGGGACAAAAGAGACTGTAAAAATTATAGAGGAATAAGCTTACTGAGTATACCAGGAAAAGTGTACGGTAGGGTTATAATTGAAAGAATTAGAGGTAAGACAGAATGTAGGATTGCGGATGAGAAAGGGGAGGTTTTAGAGTGGGTAGGGGATGTGTAGATCAGGTGTTTACATTGAAGCATATATGTGAACAGTATTTAGATAAAGATAGGAAGTTTTTATTGCATTTATGGATTTAGAAAAGGCATATGATAGAGTGGATAGAGGAGCAATGTGGCAGATGTTGCAAGTATATGGAATAGGTGGTAAGTTATTAAATGCTGTAAAGAGTTTTTATGAGGATAGTGAGGCTCAGGTTAGGGTGTGTAGAAGAGAGGGAGACTACTTCCCGGTAAAAGTAGGTCTTAGACAGGGATGTGTAATGTCACCATGGTTGTTTAATATATTTATAGATGGGGTTGTAAAGGAAGTAAATGCTAGGGTGTTTGGGAGAGGGGTGGGATTAAATTATGGGGAATCAAATTCAAAATGGGAATTGACACAGTTACTTTTTGCTGATGATACTGTGCTTATGGGAGATTCTAAAGAAAAATTGCAAAGGTTAGTGGATGAGTTTGGGAATGTGTGTAAAGGTAGAAAGTTGAAAGTGAACATAGAAAAGAGTAAGTGATGAGGATGTCAAATGATTTAGATAAAGAAAAATTGGATATCAAATTGGGGAGGAGGAGTATGGAAGAAGTGAATGTTTTCAGATACTTGGGAGTTGACGTGTCGGCGGATGGATTTATGAAGGATGAGGTTAATCATAGAATTGATGAGGGAAAAAAGGTGAGTGGTGCGTTGAGGTATATGTGGAGTCAAAAAAACGTTATCTATGGAGGCAAAGAAGGGAATGTATGAAAGTATAGTAGTACCAACACTCTTATATGGGTGTGAAGCTTGGGTGGTAAATGCAGCAGCGAGGAGACGGTTGGAGGCAGCGGAGATGTCCTGTTTAAGGGCAATGTGTGGTGTAAATATTATGCAGAAAATTCGGAGTGTGGAAATTAGGAGAAGTGTGGAGTTAATAAAAGTATTAGTCAGAGGGCAGAAGAGGGGTTGTTGAGGTGGTTTGGTCATTTAGAGAGAATGGATCACAGTAGAATGACATGGAAAGCATATAAATCTATAGGGGAAGGAAGGCGGGGTAGGGGTCGTCCTCGAAAGGGTTGGAGAGAGGGGGTAAAGGAGGTTTTGTGGGTAAGGGGCTTGGACTTCCAGCAAGCGTGCGTGAGCGTGTTAGATAGGAGTGAATGGAGACGAATGGTACTTGGGACCTGACATCTGTTGGAGTGTGAGCAGGGTAATATTTAGTGAAGGGATTCAGGGAAACCGGTTTATTTTCATATAGTCGGACTTGAGTCCTGGAAATGGGAAGTACAATGCCTGCACTTTAAAGGAGGGGTTTGGGATATTGGCAGTTTGGAGGGATATGTTGTGTATCTTTATATGTTTATGCTTCTAGACTGTTGTATTCTGAGCACCTCTGCAAAAACAGTGATAATGTGCGAGTGTGGTGAAAGTGTTGAATGATGATGAAAGTATTTTCTTTTTGGGGATTTTCTTTCTTTTTTGGGTCACCCTGCCTCGGTGGGAGACGGCCGACTTGTTGAAAAAAAAAAAAAAAAAAATGTATGTATAGTGTGACCTAAGTAAAGTAGCAAGACATACCTGAAATCTTGCATGTTTATGAGACAGAAAAAAGACACCAGCAATCCATCATGTAAAACCATTACAGGTTTTCGTTTAACACTCACTTAGCAGGACGGTAGTACCTCACTGGGTGGTTGCTGTCTATCAACCTACTACTATAAAATATTTGTCGTAATCCTATTTTTTCCAGCTGCTTTACCCACTTTCATTTTACCGACTGCCTCATGAACTTTCCCCACATCCTCCTCAGGCTGCTTTAACTCCCATACAATGTTACCCCTAGCTGCCCAATGCATGAAATCACTGCTTTATTAATATGAGCAATAATTCTAGAAGTTTCCTTAAACTATCATCCTCTTCACTCATTTAGATTTTTGAGAGTATCTCTAACCAAGAAAAAATCATTAATTTAACAAGTGACATGCAAAAATTTGTACAGTGCCTGCACTCAAGATGAGGGGTTGGGATACTTGCTTTTTTGGAGGGACATCTGAAATGTAATATCTGCACACCTCTGGCAAGACAGTGATAGTGTGATTGATAGAGAAAGCATTTCTTTTTCAGGTCACCCTGCCTCAGTGAGAGACAGCTAGTGTTTAAAAAAAAAATCAACACAAAGCCAATCAATTACTTACTTGGCTCTCCTCTCTGCTTTCTCTCTATCAACTCCTTATATTCTTCTAATTCCTGATCAGTGACAGCATCAAAGGGATTCTTAGCATAAGGAGTTTTATACACAACTGCATTATGCTGGAAATCCCTCTGAATAATTCCCTTGGAGGCAGCCCCAACCAAAATAACATGGTCAGTTGCTGCCGACATGCTAGCATCCTGCATGCGTCGTGCCTCATCCCATGTGACCCCCTCCAAAAGGTGTGATGTGGGGCCTGCACTGATGTTACCAATGCGTCGGTTTTCCTTTATCTAAGGAGAGATGGCTATTAAAATCATGACAGAGAACATTTCAGATTCAAATCAGAATTGAACAAGTGTTATTAAAATTATTTTAAAATATTCTCATAATAGGGTATTCTTTTCATGGATATGTCTAAATACTGACTTACCATTTTCTGAACAGTCTTGAATTCCTTGGGGTTGGTATTGGCTGGAACAAACTGGAGTGCAGATTCCAATTTGACTGGTGTTGAAGTAGAATGTGTGGGAGACCCATCAGCCACCCACTGTTGGTGCAACAAAACAAAGCACATTAGGGCCTGGCCTCACCCCGTTTAGTGTAATAAAATGGTTTAGCATCTGCTAATAGGCGACTGCGTTCACTGCAATGCATTGTGCCTGTTTCCCTGCAATTGAGCTAATGACTACTTCTGGTTGATAATTACAGGGCTCTATACACACATTAGTGGGATAAAAGTGACTATGAATCATTAGTATTACACCTACAAGAGAATCACAAAATGCGAGGCCCTTTGTGCTTGGTTTTGCGTATGAACTGTCAGTCATGCGACTAGCAGTTTTCAGTCACCAGTTACCAGAAACAGGCACAATATAGACCAATAAAGGTGAAGAATAGTTACTCCAAATACTGATGGGCAATGTACATTTACATTTTAAATATTTAATTATAGCTTTCTAATCACCTTTAGTAGTCTTTACTCAAGTCAAATGAAAACAGTTTAGATTATTTATTGTTTTATTAAAAGCATGGATCATATGAACACACAGGGCATGGAACTGACAGAATATCATAGGCATAAAACAGACAAATTATGCATATGTATATGCCACAAGCTATTTCCTTAAAATATCGAGTAATGGAATATAGTAGAAGACAGGTTTTATGTGCTCTAATAGTAAAGACAAAAATCACATTTACTATTGATTTTGCATATACTAAAGTGTGTACACTTATCAGCAGGGCAGTGACTTTTCTGCTTCAAGATGGTGTCTTGAAACATGACATAGGAGTGACAGATCATTTAACTTTGCATTAATGATTATCATTACCAAATTTCAAGTGAAGATGTCTTGTGAACAAATTCTGGAATAGAGAACTGTCAAGTTATGTGAAGATAATGAGTAGAGTATTATGCTTTAACTACTTCCTAGTGAAGCACAGTAAATAATGAGTATGAATCTAATGAACAGTTATACATAAGCTCTAGTATCCACAATGTAATAAGCACACTTAAAATATAATTATTTCTATTCCCAAGTACTGCTTCCTGTGCAAAAGTATAACAAAATAAAGAATTCCTAAAAATAATACTGATTTCTGAAGTGAACAAAATGTTAATTTTAGCTTAAAATAAAATTCCATACTGTTAGAGATCAGCATTATTTTGTGCTGCATACTCTCACTAAGCATAACAGCAAACCGACAAATACCCTAAATGGACAAGTGATACTTAGGCACTATAGCATGTTAACTTGTCAACAAATTTGGTAATGATGGGCTCGAGTGTCATGCACAGTTCTCAACAATTACCATCACCTTCCATGAGCTCTATGGGCTTGCACTATGGATCAACATTCAGCTCACAGTACAGTAAAACACAATATGAATTCATATATAACTAACAAAAAAAACTGAAGCAACAAAAAATTCCATTTCAAGAATGAAGACTCTTAAGACTAAAGCATTGGATTCCAATATAAGAAGACAGTTACATAATCTTGTAAGACCTATTAAACCTTATACTATGTTACTAAAAATGTTGTCTTTCGTTTACAAGACTCCAGGTTCATTATACATTTAGTAAGACATGCAACCAAATCTTTATATTAATACTAATCTTTTATAAAGCTGGCATAACTTATGACAATTTCTTAACACTAACATTTTAAACAACTAGCACACTTTGTTGGAACAAGCTTTGCCAAAATTAATAAACAATCTTTGGTTATTACAAAAATATTCAAGTGAAATAAGCTAAACTCTAACCCACAACTAAGGCTAGCATTAATTCTCTCTTTGTAATGCAGTCATAAGTTTGAAAATCAGTTATATTTAGACCTTTCTTTCAACAAATTGGCTGCATCCCACTGAGGCAGGGTGGCCCAAAAAGAAAAACGAAAGTTTCTCTTTTTAAATTTGGTAATTTATACAGAAGAGGTTACCAGCCCCTTGCTCTTTATTTAGATATCTACCCACATAATAGCCAGCTGCACACTTGTATTCCCTTCTCACTGTAATAGCTACTATATATTTATGCACATAATAGACTATAATCCTATAGCTACCCATTCATTTTTTTTTTTGTGAACTTTGGAAATTCATTGATATTATTTAACACTTGCTTCAAAAAATACTTCAGAGTACTACTACTACTGTTTCATGGTTCAGTTTATGATCAAATTAAAATAAGAAGTCAACAAATAGAAATTAAAAAAAGAAAAAATAATGATAAAAGTACATTAAATAATGACAATTTGCTCTTCATCCTTTTGAGACAAGTCTAAATCCATACACATCAGCAAGAGCAAATGAGGCAGCTAGATCATGTCAGCCAATCACTAATTAAGAAGTGGTTTCAGTATATTTAACTCAAGCCCTGCTAATTTAACTAGGTAACTGATGCTACTGCAGGTAAAAACACACTACACAAAATATTTGCCTCTAAATGATCCCAGAGCAAAGTGACAAGCTATATAGGAATGTTAAAGGAGCTAAACCTTAAGTCACTTAAGAAATGAGCTTGGGAGAATATGATCACAATATATAAGGAGGCCAAACACACTAATGTAGATAGAATGAGAAAAAAGGGGTATAAATTGGAACAAGATTGTCATAATTATGAGGTGAATTCCATTTGCAGACTTAAAAGTAGATACAATACAGCCTAGGTGGTTTGGAATCTATCACATTTCAACGAAGGTTAAGAAGTGACGACATTAGTTTTATCTCAGATGCTTCCATATTTATATCACATTCAAATGCTTAAAGATAATCATCTCAAAGAAATGTCTGACAGCAACTGATGTTCAGTCAGATTTTAATATAATAAGCCTTGAAATCAGACTTCATGAAGCTTTTTATATTTAGAAGGAAAACCTAAATGATCTTTATAGAGGGTTAAGAGATTGTTTCCCTGAACCATTGTGCATTAAAACCTTGTTTGTGCAAAGGATTTACATAAAATTACATGTCAATGAGATAAAATCCGTGTGCTTAAAGCACAAAAAAATAAAGTTTCCTACAATTTTTTTACAAACCATCCTATTGTACACCTGCACAAGGAACTACAACCACTAATGAAGGCAAACTGTTAGTGCACTCTTTAAAAGGATAAAATGATATTCACAGCATAAATAATACTGAACATGGAATCCTAATATACATTAGTAAAACATATGGATTATAATAAACTGTGGTTATTTGGCATATTTTGGCAAAAAACTAAATTAACAATGTCCAATATTAAGCAAGGCTTGCCACTGATACAGTTTAATACTGTGCAATTTGGAAAAAAAAAAAACTTATAAAACATTACTCAAGATAGCCTAACTTACACCATTATTGGTAGAGATTGAAATGGCATGTCTGCATACAGAAGAATAAAACTTGTGATGACGTCTTGGTTCGACCTGAACCATTATCTGGCTTCCTTCCTTTCCTGCTTCTATGTTACTAATTAATGGTCCAAGTTGGACCAAAACATCACAAGTTTCATTCCATTGTGAAATGCTCGTGTCAGGGTAGTGCGCTTTTTTATTCTTTCCTGACTCAATACTAACTGTTGACTGGCCCTGATGCTGCATTCAAACCAAAATGAAGGTAATACTTTTGCTAATATCTCCCAGAATAATTTGCAAAAGAAATAATTCACTTATGGTGTAGATAGCTTGTATGTATTGTAAAATATAAAATAATGCACAAGTCTGCTGAGGAGAACCTTTAGTAATAGCCAACATATTCAATTCTATGATGAAAGGTAATTACGAATAGAGCAAAATATTACATCTCCATTTAATGAAGAAAACTAACAAAAAATAATCCTGAGAAAAAGTAAATATATTTAACACCATTTTTGCTGAGTGGCAAGGTATCTTCCTATGCATGAAGACAATCAATTTGTCCTGTGCACCAGGCACTGACTAGCTCCATAAATCCTCAAAGTAAAACAAGGTTATCCAGCACCCACAGGTATAGCCAGGCCCTAAATTTACAGCTTAACTCTTTCACTGTCAAGACCCCTGCTCAAAACCTTGTTCTCAGTGTTGATTAAAAAAAAAAAAAAATCTTATGAAACGATAAAGAATCTTTTCCCAATGGTAATGACACCAAAAGTATGAAATTTGATGGAAAACTTGCAGAATTACGCTCTCACAAAGTTAGTGGTCTCGGCAATATATATTCACATAAGCAATTTAGCCCACTTTGAGCCCTATTTTCGGCCAATTCCATCATTCTAGTCGACCAAACTCATGGCTATTTCGCTAGAACTCCATTTGTTTTATCGACCAAAAATCCCCCATTTTT